GTGCAATACAGACTGCTATTGCACCATGCTTTAGTACAGGGGTTTTCAACCTTTTCTGGTCAGCGTACAACTGGTTGACAAGCGGCGGGGGGGGGTCTGCAGTGGCCGATCAACGAGTGGGGGGGGGTCTCTTGTAGCCAATTAACAACTGGGCCGGGGGGTCCCTCGTGTGCTCGTGGTGGTAAAACCATAAGTGCCAGAGGCGAAAATGCTGGTGAAAAAAGTGCCAGCAGTGCACAGCAGCACAAAGTGCTGGCAGCCCCAGCCCTGTTTCTCTGTGCTGCTGCTGTGTCATGCTGTGTACCCCCTGGGGATTTCCCAAGTACCCCCAGGAGTACGTGTACTCCCAGTTGACAACCCCTGCTTTAGTACTTCTTTTTGGTGAAATAGTGGCTAAAAATAACCACTTCATGGGCACATGTTGACGCATCCATCATGACTATAATATAATACCCATTGGGTGCATCTACATGTGACCTTTTGGAAGTACTGTGACATACACTGGGCTCACAATTATTTTTAGGCACTGCTTCACTGTAGTGTGCGCTATAATGAGGGAGCGCGCTACTATGATAAAGCAGCTGCTGGTCACATGTCGATGCATGTGGTCACTGTGTTGCACACTGCTATGGCAACGTAGCATCACATGTAGATGTGCCCTGTGGGTATTATGTGAAGGTCTAGGCTGGCCACAAAAGAAGGAAATAGCTGCATTTAAAATAGTACAAGTCTAGGCTAACCACAATGGGTCCCCTTTGTGATCTGGAAATAACTTGCATATAATTGCTATAATCTTGCTGGCTTGTTGACTGCATAAGGGCAAGAGGAAAAAAAAGGAAATAAAAGGAGACAGCCACAAGACGCATGGAAATTGAACATGAGCAAGGATCAACAACTGAAGAAGTGGTAGAATTTGATTGGATAACAGCGAACAAAGGAACTGTGAGGTATAAAAGAAGACGTTACATGGAAAGCAACTTGGGTACATAACACCAAAGACACCACTGTGCAGATGCACTGAAGCCCCCTTGCCTGACAACTTAATCTGGCCAGCAACATCATTGAGCAATAGACTACTCATCCCATATGTAATGTATCTGATCATTTCATTTTGCTTTAAGATGTCAATAAATCATATGTATTCTATATGACTGGAATGGTCTGAGATCTCATTTATTATTGCTGTCCAAGCCACCTCAAATCTACTTGCTGTTCTGTCACAACCCAGTGATTTTTGGTGCCTCGGCACAATGGGATTTTCTTGCCACATGAGAGCCTCTTGCACAGCGAGGGTTTTGCTGCACAGAGAAACCTCGGTGCAAGAGAGTTCCCGCCAATTTGCAGCCTTCTTTGCAGGGTGCATTTCTTCTTTGCAGCACAGAAATGCACGGTGCAAAGAGTTCCCGCTATTCGAATGCAAATTTGTGTCCCGCTATTGGCCAGTGCTAAATTATTCACACGTGGCGGCTAGTAATTGGCTCGCTGGCCGTTTAAAATTCCACGCGACTTCCGCCCAAGTCGAAGAACTTTGAGCACGCTGCAGAGTGCCTCTAAAGAGATCTGACTTGCGGCTAGCTGATCGATAGACTGATCACCTATCGATCTTTCTTCCCGTCGCCGAGCGCAATCCCAGACGTACCCTTTTCTCACCGGCTTTAATTGCAGACGGATTGACTGGCTTGGGCCCCCCCAGCTGGAACAACTCGTGTGGTTGTTCAGACGACTGGACCACCTGCGTCGTGATTGCAAGCGGCGTGAGTAAAGTTTTTTGCAACCGATAAATTGTGTCTGCCTCTCCATTCACCAGCCCGCCCTAACGTACGAGCAATTTCTAACTTAACTCGAGTCGGTTCTGGCCGTCCGAGACATGTTCAAGCGTAACAATCTAAAAGAAATTATTTAGGATTTATTGCCTTTATCAGTTTGCCCTAAAAGTACTTAGTATCTTTAAAGGAATTTGTAGATTTAGAGCTGCTATAGTCAGGATAGTTACAGATCCTGAAGTTCATTCCCTGTGTCCAAATTTTCCTTGTAAATTACAGTTGTCTAGTGGTTCTTACCCTATGTCATGGATTCACCCAGGAACCAAGTTGCCCTTTGGGGTTCACTGTGTGACATGCATGGGTAATCTCCTAAATTAGTTTTAATCCTGTGGTGTTTAGTCTCTATTTAGCTGGTGGGAAAGTAGGTTAAGTTTAGTAATGTTCATATCTATATGTATTGGATATAAATATATTTATTATATTTATATTGGCTATAAATATAATTTTGATATATCTTTACATTACACCATGTCTGCTTTAGTAAGGCAGTGATTGACTTGAGCGGCCTTTGACTGTTCACACTTACAAGAAACAATAGCTGAGAATTAGGGCCTTATGACACCTTACCCTCTGAGCTGAACAAATGTTGATGAGTGTGGGTGCATCTACATGTGCCATTGGGAAGCTTATTGCTTCACAGTTTATTGCTCTTGGGAAGGTCCTGGACATGCATTTTACATGTGCACCTGTTGCACTGCCCATTGAGCTGGGTCACAGCAGCCCTGGTATAGAACAGTAGTGGGCAAACTATGGCCCGCGTATGACCCACCACAACTCACATGCCCACCCCTGCTCCCCCCCACCCCTCTGCCCCCTCACACCTCTCCACTGTCCCCACTCCCCCCACCACCCACACACCTCACCCCCCCATATACAATATAAAAGAGTAAGACTTTATTTTGAGCTATTGTGCAATTGTCTTTATATATACTACTCAAAAAATACATAAATCAAGACAACAAATATTTTTTGCAATAAAATTAAAATGTTATAGTAGATGTTTGGTTTTTAGTATATGATTTCTTTTTTTATCTGTAATTTGTTAAAATGATATTTCTGAAAATTTTTTTTGTATGTGGCCCTCAACAGCTCACCAAAAGTCATTGAGTGGTCCACCAGCTGAAATAATTGCTCACCCCTGGTGTAGAATTGCCCTGGGAATGTGTCTCAAGTGTGCATACAGGGAGCATCTGGAGCGAGAGTACTGTTGCACCCTACAAAGAACTTCTCAAAAGTAGTGGAAGCTTTTTAATGTCTTTCTTTGTTTTTTTGGTCTGCTATTTTAGTGGTCACAATAACAATTTGCCTTATTAACGGAACCTGAGCCATATGTGCATCGGCCCATCTAGAGTGTCACTGCTGAAGTTTATCATCCAGAGTGATGTGTAGCAGTGATGTTTGAACTCTTTATGCTCAGTTTGTGTGAATTACCTAAACCAGATATGGCTTCCAGAGCTTGGCAATAATGTGCTTAGAACTTGATGTTCTGCAAACCACCTTGGTTTTTCTACCTTCTAATGCAGCTGTATATGTCAGCCCAGGTCCATGAATGTTTTGTGGAGGTGGCCTGAAGTTCACCATGCCTACTTAGCAGCCTGTAGGAAGACTACCCCACTGCCTAATTCCAAGCCCTGTATTTTCCATTAAATGCCTTCTGGAAATTGAGGGCTATCCTCTTTATCCTGGGGCAGAGAGACCTCTCTGAAATTTCTCTAGAAAACCAATGGGGTATTTGGCTACTGCTCATCTCCAAAGGTCTCAGAAGCAACTTAGAAAGTTATTCCAGTGAGATAGAAGGCACTTAATTTTGTTCCCAACGAGACAGGAGCAAAACTGTCCTGGTTCTGCTACTAGCTGCTGAGTGAAAGACTTGGAGAAGATATAGCCTTTACAATCCTTTGTATAAGGTGAACAGCATATCCACATCCTGTGATATAAAATCTAAGTTTAGAAGATCCCTGGTCCTTAAGGAATGCTTTAAGATGTGACTGCTTAAACTAATGCTGCGAGATTTGCTGGAGGCTGCAGAGGCCTTAAAACTAACATTCCAAAGGAGACATGATGTCCTCAGTGCACGGGTAACCTGAATCCCTACGATCACTCCACAAATATCAAAATCGTTAGCTATTTCATTGGCATTCAAAATATGTAGGTCTAAATAGTAATTTTCATGTTATGAATATTTGCACAATACATTATGTGCGTTGTTTTGCCCCTTGTGAGTGGATTTAGCAAGAGCAGGGAGGTATTAGCCCCCATTTGTTTTCCAGTCTGGCCTTTCAACTGTCAAGTGTCCTGTCAACATGTAGTTGCTAAGACTATGGATACTTTTTTAGATGTTGGCTGATGGGCACCATCAGAATAGAATCCTGAAACCATCCTGTTTTGGCTGGGTATATGTGTTTAAATGTGCTGGGAATTCATAATCTTTTTAGTCATGTTAATGTACTTTTTTAGATAGAGTGGTTGAGGGCTGGAGTGTCATGGGCACTAAGGTGTAGGGTTAATAGGCCAGAGATTGCAAGTTCGGGGCCATAGTGGAAGTGTTTTATGCCCCAGCCTGTCAGATTCCAACAAACCTGTGAATTCTGCTAAAAACCGCGTCACAAGGACATGAAGAAAGAAAGATAGGATGGTATATTTAGCTGTTGAAGTTGGCTTTAAACATTTATTTTTCATGCATGGTAAACTCATTTAAAAATGGAAGTGCCTCTAACATCCTATGCACCTGCCATATTTACTCAGTATAAATTATACTTGGATCTAGAGTGGAGAGTCAACAAGCTGTCCTGGTACAACTGCTTGCAATAGCGACTCTTATAGTGCTTTGCAACTTGGTGGCAGGGCAACTAGTAATAAGCTTGTATTTTTGAGCAAAACAGCCACCCTGGGGTAAGCTTCAGGCATACAATATATATATGTTTTGTTCCCTGATTTCTCCCAGGATTGTTGTACACCAGACTTAATTAACTTACAGAGGTGTAGGGTGGAGCATCATCTGTTTGCTCTTTTTTACACTGGCACACATGTAGTGTGTGTCCATTGTCGGAGAAACTCTGTCTCATGTATTCATCATGTAGTGCTTAGGGGAAGGTTTTGAAGGGTTCCTGGAAATATGTTCAGTAACATGGAAAAGAGATGAGGACTTATTACAATTTTTGCTTTTCCCTTCTACAGATACTAATATGGTTAATACAGGAGATATGAATGGTTCTGGCAATCTGATGGATTTTCTGGATGAACCTTTCCCTGATGTTGGGACTTATGAAGACTTCCACACCATTGACTGGCTAAGAGAGAAGTCCCGTGACACCGACAGACATAGAAAAGTAAGAGATGTCGGCGTAAACACACACATGAACATACCAACAAAAGCCTTGGTAATATGCATCCCTAAAGCAGAAAAATGATATTTCCAGCATTGTTAAAAAATATTTTGAGTTGGACATACAAAAAGGTGGGAATAATTTACCTTTTGTAATTCATCATTTCATCTATCAATACCAGAAGAAAAAGAGAGGGAAAAACCTACTGAATGTGAAGGTTCAGAGCTAAACCGAGTAATTGTTTTGGCTGACAAATTCACCTTAAACAACTTTGTTTCACTGGCTAACAAATGCACTGGAGACAAAAAAAAAGGAAAAAGAAAACCTGATTGATTTTATGGGGATAGTGATGAAGTTGATGGGGATACTGATGAAGTTGTTTAATAACTGTCTTGCCTTATGAACATGATACAACAAAATTTAAGTTTGTCTGAATTAGCCTCTATATGTATATCTTTCAGATTACAAGCAAAAGTAAAGAATCCATATGGGAGTTCATCAAGAGCTTGTTGGATGCCTGGTCAGGATGGGTGGTGATGCTTAAGATAGGACTTCTGGCAGGTCTGTGTCTATTAGCCAAAGTGGTGTGTCCAAATGTCTTTCTTGCAGCTTTATGACTGACATCTGCTTATGTTTCACTAACTTTCTCCAGTCCCCAGTGTTTTAACACAGATGAGATAAAAAGACAGTTGTGCATCTAGGCATCTATAGTGCTTAACGAAAAATTCACTTGGAAAGTCTCCCGCTGAGTGCTGACCTAGAAAAAAGGCTATTAATGAGTAATGTGATTTCCGTGTTACTTCTGAAAATAGGCTGAGTGAATGTGTCTTGCCCTTGAGGAATGGTTTTGACTCTCAAACCCTGAATCGTGTGTTCTTTTATTCTTGACCTTGGTTACTTTAATTCTATGAATAGATATTTTCATGCAGGATTGAGAGTATTTGGTAGTATACTGTCGAAACGTAGCTCTGTAATACACTGGATTCATTGTAGATCGAGAGTTATCTCTTTATACGCACATGAAAGGAAAACAGAGTTTCTGACTAAATTTCAGATCTGCTCCCAAACCAGGCAGACATTACATATTTAACAACCTGCTCAAACTTGGATAGGAAATTCATTAATTTCCTGAGTTGTCCTGTCTCCTGCTCAGTTTAGTATGACTTCCAGTTTGGAAGGCTGCACTCACATTATCAAGTTGAAACAGCTGCCTCTAACATTTTCTAATCATGTTTCATTTATGTCAGTATGATCGTGCATCAGTCCTCTCAGTAACAAAATGATACAATGTCCATGCAAAAACTAGTGTGACTACTTTGCTTTAACATGCAAAATTAACCACATAGGCCACATCCAGATGAAAGCAGCTGTGCAGTATGTGGTACAGCAGACCCATCTGTGGCACCATGCACTACACATTCAGGTGTTCTCCACAATGCAAGATAGCAGTATAGGTAGGGTTTACCCCAGGAGATCCTGGGGTCAAAAAAACCCATGCAAAAAAAAAAAGCAAGGCAGCGCAATGCAGGGACAGTGCATGCCACCCAAAACCAGAGCTGGTTAGCCAGATCCATGCTATGGCTGCCAGCCAGGCTCTGAGTGGCAGGATTGCCACTGCTGCAGCCCCAGAAGGCCCCCAGGATCCTAAGTAAGGCTGCTGAGGTCAGCACAATTGCTGACCCTAGCTTCTTCTATACCACTCAGGGTAATCTGCTGCACATTAGAGGGTGTGTGGCACAGGCATTCCTTGGAGACAAGTAACAGTAGCACAAGGTGTGCCTCTGCTTCTTGTCCCCAGGGAAACAAGAGTCCATGCACGTGTGGACGCGGCCATAGGGTGCATCTAGATGAGCATGCACGTGCAGTTTATAGCACTGCAAACCTATCTGTGGTGCCCAATGGCAATGCATAGGGGGTACACATAGGTGCATGTACACCACCTGAGATCAGCTGTGCACCCCCTGGAAGCACCAGCCATGAAACCAGAAGTGCACTTCTAGTTTTGCCGCTGGCTTAGCGATCGGCCACTGGGGGACCCTCCCTCCTGCCCCCTGTTGGTGATCTGGTGCCCCCCCCAGACTCTGGAGGTAGCAGTCACCCATGGTGGTGCTACAGACCACATGTACTGCACATGTAGGTGTTTGCCATGCTACTAATTTGCAGCAGAGTGGGGGGGGGGGGGGGAGTGGGGGGTGGCGTGTGAATATTTGGGGGGGGGGGGGGGGGGGGGGGCGAAGAAGGGGGTTGACACCAAGAAACCCTGCTGTCAAGAAAACCTGTGCCTGAAAAAGGTGGGGAAGGAAGGAGGATGCATGTGGCAGCAGTGCGGGGCCACCCAAATCCTGGCTACTGCTGGAGTCCCGTGAAGCCCCCAGGACCCCAGGTAAAGCTGTTGGGGCCAGCCCAAGTGCTGGCACCAGCTTCCCCTGCACCACCCGGGGCAATTGCTGCACACCAGGGGGGGTGTGCACAAGTGTTCCCCAGGAACAAGTAGCAGCATCACAACTATGTGCTGCTGCTATTTGTCCCCAGGGAAACACATGTGTTTGCTCATCTGGATGCAGTCATACAGAGGTATTTTTGTACCTCATACTTGTACCTCATACTTATTCCTATTTTTATAAAAGTACTTAGAAAGATCTCTTTTATTCCAAAGTAGAATGAAAATTAATCCTGAATCCTTGAAAGTTGCTGCAAAAAGTCCTCTGCTCAGCTTTAGCTGTGGTACATCTAGGCTAAGAAAAGAGGTTGAGAGTAAGTTGTATAATTTATTAGAAAAATTCACCCTTTTCCACAGCATGGCTACAGTTTAACACCTTTGACCTTGAACAGTTAAACTGATGGAGCTAAACTCAGGAAAATGTTGCAATTCGGTTACAAGGTTGTTGGTTGTAGCCATGTTGGTCTAAGGACATAGTCAGTTAAGGTTTTTTGGGTAAATGTGATATCTTTTATTAGACCAACTAAAGAGTTGGAAAAAACTTCTTTGTAAGCTTTCAGACACAAACACCCTTCTTCAGGCATTGGGATGACTCTGCTCACAATTGTAATTATAACCCAATTGTAATTAGGTTGGCATTAGTTATCACCTATTAACTACTCAATAACACCCCTCCACCATTTCGATGACTGCTATGCCACTGACCACACATTGCAACATTTCCCTATAGGGGTGTCAGCCTCTTTATTCTCTTTAGCAAGATGCCAACTCCAAACACACCAAAGTAACACTCGCAGTTCTGTTCTGGATGTACTTACCCGCTGTCATCCTTATTAGGCATGTCTTGATGTAAAAAAAAAGGGGAGGAAGATAAGCCAGTGGGTATGGTAGAGTTTGAAGACTCTGCCATAGACTTCCCATGTGATTTTGAGCAAGTTACTTAGGTCCAGATTTTTAAAAGTACTTGGGCTTTGTTTTATTTAGGTCTAAACCCCATCTAACTCATTTAGGGTTGGTACCTCCTTAGCATCTTTCAAAATTTCTTTCTGTTTCAGTTCTCCATGTATAAAATGGAAGCATGATACTCCCATGTAGTAATGTTACATGGCAGGAAAGGAAAATGGGCCTAAAGGACCTTGGGCATAGGTAATGAACTAAATATTGATATATTGCTTTCTAAGTATTAGTATATTTTCTCTGGCTCACCCCTGTTGTCTATTGTGCTTGGGCCAACCTGGTGACAAGTAAAAACTGTAACCAGCTGAAGGTATATTTCATGTAGAGATGAGAAAGCCAACAAGAAAGTGTCTCTTTTCTAAGATGTATGAAAATGTTTTAACATTCACTGTTTAAATGAATTTATCTCAGCTGAAATCACATTATTTTTCAATTTATTTCTTATGTTATTTCACCAATCCAGTTCATAGCAAACCATTTCCAAATGTTTATGGAAAAATACGTTTTAAAAGCATACATTTAGTGTTCTGATCGGGAGGTTGTGAAGGGACAGTTTTGGGCATTTTCAGGTAATGGAAGGATGACATCTGAATTCTGTAATTTCCTGAATTTGGAGTGATTTGTACAACATCTTCATTTATTTTTCATGGCAGGATATCTGGAGTATTTACAAGGAAGGTGTCTTTTTTCTTGTATTCAATATTCTGAGCTTTTTCAATTTGTTAGTTCAGATCTAAAGGATAAGTTACATACAGTTGTATAAAGACTGTATACCCAGTCTGGTATACCCAGACATACCCAGTTGAAATATATTGTCTTCCCCCTTTTTATGCCTAGCTGTCTAAACCAGTGGTGCTTAGAGCCCATAGGCCAGATCCCACCCAGGCCATGTCATCTAGCCTGCAGGCCATGTCATCTAGCCGTGGGCCCCAAAATTTGGGGACCAGTTTCAAAATGAATAGCCACTCCCAGCTGCCAAATTTTGGGGGTTGAATGTCGTGGCCCTGTGACTGTGCCTGTGTATGGTGGGGGCCGGTGCATGGGGTCAGTCTGTGACTAGATTCAGGGTATGGGACTGGACTGGTATGTGGTTGGATCTGGCATGCAGAGTTGGGCCAGTGTGTGACCAGACTGGCATGCTGTATTGCACCTACAGACCAACCTTGTACATGGGATCCAGTCTGCAGACCAGCTCTGTGCCTCTTACCCAGCCTGGAAGATTTAAGGGATCTTAATTTTCCTGCAGGGCTGAAAGATTTAGCATTACTGAACTAAACAGATCAGCTGCATCTTCCTTTGAATTTTACTTGCACTTGTGAGTGGTTATCAGCACTTATTAAAATCTGCCCTATAGTCTTTTAGTATATAGACCTATAACTAACTTGTTAGCCCCCACAATGCTGCTCAGGTGGCTTATTTAGGCTTTCTGTGTTTCGTTTTTCTTATCTGATAAATAATCATTTTAACTTGTGTGACACCAGGGCTTTGAGTTCTACAGACAGATAGAAGTGATTCAATGTGAGCACCTTAATTTTGCAGATAGCACTATTAAACACATTTTCTGAGCAGCATTATAGTGTAATGAATGAAATGTGAGTCTATCATTCAGAGATCTAAACGTTTGCCCTCAATCCTGCCACAAACTCCCTTTGTGACCTGCAAGAGTCACTTTATCAGGCAAAACAATCTGATAGCCTGCCTTCATTTACCCCATCCAAAGGTGTCACAGCTATTGAATTACTAGCTATGCCATGTTGGAAGGCATTTCTAAGTGAAGCTTTTAGGGAGTCTTGATTGTTCATCAGTAGATGGGGTAAGACCAGAACTGTGTACATTTTGGACAGATACAGAAGGTCCCTTGTGTCAGTCTCAGCTCTTACATTTGGGCAATATTGATCATTTGGGCATTATTTAAAGAATTATAGTCTCCTGCAAAATGCAATTAGTCAAATTCATTAAGATCAACAGCATCACACTGATTTACAGCAATCTTGGACGTGGCTCAGAGTTTACACTGAAATTCAAGTAGCTGGAAAGGGCACACAACAAAAACCCAAGCTCTTTACAAAAGTAGGCACTTTGCAACTCCATTTCTCCCCTACACATCTCTAGTGATTTCATGTGACTCTTACCAGCATATCTGTGCTTTCCTATAGACTGGAGGCAGAGCCTTCCAATATCATGCAGTTCTTTAGTATTATCATTTTTTGCTACCATGGTGATAAGCATTACTCCTCTTGCTAAAATTATAAAATGTTTCTCTGAAAAAGGCTGGCAGCAACCAAACTGATAAAAAAAAAAGGTTGCGTTACCACCTGAGTAATTTTTCATTTTCTTTTCTTGTTGAAACAGAAACTGAAAAAAAATGTCTTGAATCAAATGAATTCAGAATTGAAGTCAGCTGAGAGCTGTAACCAGAGGACTATTTGGTAAAAGGCAACTATAGCCAACCTCAGGTCTCCATTTTAGCTTATTAGCAGTGTATGAAAACTAAGCATTTTGGAATTGTCAGAGCAAACATTTTGAGATTTTCTAAACATTCTGTTGGTTTCATTTCTATTGAAATTATTCAGTTAATTTGACCCTCGTCCACCCATAATAACCTGAAATGGCATTTTTCTTTGAATAAATGATTAGCTAAATATCTAATATAATAAAAAGCTTAGTCTGTCTGTCTGTGTGTCTGCCGCCAAGAGGGTGGGCAGCCCTTGGCTGCATGGCCTGGGCTGCACGGGCCCAAGTTTGATCTGCTGCCACGGAAGTATGTGGCAGTGGTGAACAGGCCTCAGATGCCTGAGCAGCAGGGCTTCCCCACACCTCCCTGCCTGAGGGCAAAGGCGGGGATCACGGTAACGGCGCGGGCCAGGTGGATGTGGAGCGGTGGGGGGGTGGGGGGGGTAGAGCAGGGCAGGACCTGGAGTGGCCAGGGAATGGTGGAGCAAGACCAGACCCAGAGCAGTGGGGAGGAGGCATAGAGTCGGGCCAGACCTGAAGCAGTCAGGGGTTTGGAGTGGGCCTGGACCCAGAACAGCTGGTGGGGGGTGTGTAGCATGGCTGGACCTCAAGTGGTGGAGGTGGGGTGGAACAGGGCCAGACCCAGAGCAGCAGGGGTGGGAGCATGGGGTCAATATTAGCTCAGGTTTGCACCAGTCACGGGTTCAGGCCAGCAGGAGCCTGGCCTGGAGGACTGAAAGGTAAGAATCCCTGCCTCTCACCAGTTCTGGGTTTCCCCCTAGCCCCCCGTTCCCTGGGCCTCTTCTGGTTCCCCCCACCCTTGGGGCTCCTTCCACCCCTTCCTGCTTACAAGTAATTGGGGGAGGGGGCAGTGAGCAGGGGTCTGGGGTGCTGGGGAGGCTGGGGCGGTAGGGGCAGTGAGTTTAATCCAGGCCAGCAGGGTAGGGGGGCAGTTGATGTGTTTACACTAATGTGTAGTCTAGAGTGGCTACATTTTAGTGTAACACAAGCTGAGTAACATGGATCAGAGAGAATCCTGCCCTGGACTGGCATAACTTTGAGCCTCCTAATGAGGATTTCAAACTAATTTCAGGTGTTAATATGTGGACCACGCAAGTGTTAAGAGCACTGGGAGCTGCCCCAAATTACCATGTAACAAGCCCCTGTGTAGTCGTGTCAGTTGGCCACTGGATGTCACTGTTATGCTGTATAATTATTTGGAAGAGCTGTCTGTGGGATGAAAAATAAGTCTCATAAAGAGATCCTTGGAGATCTCAGAACAACAACAGAGTCTCTCTATGCCTGAAGAAGGGTACTTGTGCCTGAAAGCTTGCAAAGAACTTTGTTCCAACTACTCGGTTGGTCAAATAAAAGATATCGCATCTGCCCAAAGAACCTTGCCTCTCATAAAGAGAGGATTTTCTGAAAACATTTATGCTTGGGATTTGAGTTACTGTTCAAGATATACACAAGTGATGATGTTTGGGTCCCTTTGAAGTGACTGGCTTTTCTGCAACAGATTTAGTAAAGCAGGATTTCTCCCCTAGTATTCATTTTACTACTCGGGTCACTCTCTTTGCATATCAGCATGTACATATCAAGTCTAATGGGAGTATGTGCAACCACCACCCACCCACCATCTGCAGTGCAGAACTGTTTCCCTGATCTTGCAATCTGATACGTACATGTGCACCCCTCTGCCTGTGTGAGTCCTACTGACCTCTCTAGAGCTGTGGTAGCCCAATCAGCACGCCTGCATGGATCAAATTGCAGGATTGGGTCTTATGTTTGTATATGCAACGATTCCCTTTTGTCAGGTGCTGAGATAAGGTGTGTATCATGGTATTAAAAAGAAACATTGCTAAATAAAATATAGAAGCAGACATTTTGGTTTGGCTGAGGTCCCCTACTAACTTGCTACTATTTACCATAGGTATTTGGTGTATTTGCACTTACCTTGTAATGGGGCCTCCAGATCAAACATTTCACATACTATTATTAGTTGAATATATTTTCTACTTAGCTGTGGTGTTCCCTTCATTATTTATTTCCTGATTTTTTTTCCCTTCAGGCACTTTAGCTGGAGTTATAGATTTAGCTGTGGACTGGATGACAGACCTGAAAGAAGGTGTCTGCTTATCCGCATTTTGGTACAGCCATGAGCAATGCTGCTGGACATCTAATGAAACCACATTTGAAGACAGGGGCAAATGTCCCCAGTGGCAGAAATGGTCTGAGCTTCTAGTTAATCAGTCTGAGGTAAACCACTTAGGATTGGAATGGGAAGAACTAAACAACCTTAGAAACATTTTTTTTTTCCTACTCTTTTTTTCTTTGTTTTGACAATCTCTCCAAGCGATTCTTCCAATTCAGACAGTAATGAGCTGCCAATATGTTAAAAAGGCATTCCCACAAACATTTCCTGATTAGCCTGGCTAAGAACCATGTCTCAGTGATAAATGCATGGCAGAAGGAAGGGCCGCAGGAATGAAAATGTCTCTCTTCTGTATACTTACTAAAAAAGCTATCCATGACCAAGAAAGCAGGCGACTCCACTTGGCAACCAAACTTTCCCTTTTAAAAGCATTTTTCTGGAATAAAGTATAGCACGTTTCTGGAAATTACATGAGGGGGAAATCCTCAGAGCTATGAAAAGGGTATGAAAGAATAAGTTGGAGCTGCATACAAGATGCTTTTTCGGCTTTGGAAAATCACCTTCTTATGACAATCCAGGATTCAGTTACTGATTCGAATCCTGGACATAGCCCAGCATTCAACTTGGAAAAAATGGAATTTTTCAATGAAATAAATTTAAAAAAAATGCATTTTTGTTCAACTGAAGACTTTTTGCTTGACTCAAAATGAAATGATTCCTTTAATTTAGTCCTCTGTGCCAACTTTGTTCCAAATTTGTGAAAAACCTGGGTCTTGCCAAAGCCACATTCTCTTGGCAAATTTACTATTTGTCAAAAATTTTTGCCTAGTGTTATTAGTCGCATCTTAATTGTGGGGTAAGAATGATATATATGGAGAGAAAATGGATTGACTAGAATGATGGGATTATTTTCCATCAGCAATTTGTTTTAAAAATATCTAACATTTGGTAACATTTGATCCTTTCAAAATAGAAAGAAAAAAACAAGTGGTGGTGGTACTGGGGGTATTATGGAGTTGAGGCACTTTTATGGGCCACAGGGCTTATTCATCTGTGTTTTACATTGTGTCAGGGTTCAGAGAAGGGATTGTTACTGATCAGTCGGCGAGACCTCCCCAGCTCTTCCTTCAGTTCAGCAGTAGAGTTTTGGCACTCTGGAGTCTCCAAGAGCCTCTTCATTACTATACAGAAGTAGTTTAATAATTCTTCACTTTAACTTCAAAGCTGTTGATGCTGGATTACATTATTTGTAGACGTTTATGGCCCAGTTTTCCAGATATGCCAAGCAGCACTAGCTGTGACTGACAACAACAGGAATTGCGAGCTGCTCAGTATTTCTGAAAGTTTATCCTGTTGGATGCCAAGCAGGAGCTTCCAGTGTACAGCTGAAGATGCACAATGCTAAGCTTTATTGTATGTGGCACTTGGAATCGTGTCAAGTTCAAGTGCCGTGACAGGGGTCCTAAATCGATAGTTGTTTCTTTGTAACAATCAAAGAATCATTGTCCCTGTAACAATGGCCAATCAGTAGAGAAGTTGTAATTTATTAGAAACTGCACAGCTGGACAAGAGGTAGGAAGGGAGAAGAGGTGAAAGAAGTTTTATTATTTTAGGTGTTGTATAGGGGGGACCATCAGCAAGTCCCTGGAATATTCTTAGCCTGAAATTTTCATAGATTTCATAAACATTAGGGCTGGAAGGCACCTTGGAAGATCACTGAGTCCAGCCCCCTGCCCCAAGGGCAGGAAGTCAGCTAGGGTCAACGGATCCCAGCAAGATAAGCATCCAAACACTTCTTAAAGCCATCCAGAGTAGGTGCTTGCACCACCTCTGGAGTGAGTCTATTCCAGGCCTTGGGGACTCAGACAGTAAAGAAGTTTTTCCTAATGCCCAGCCTAAAATGGTCTTGGGGGATTTTGTGACCATTGGACCTTGTCATCCCTTGGGGTGCTCTGGTGAACACGTGTTCCCCCAGGTCCTGATGCGCACCCCTTATGTACTTGTAGGCAGCCACCAGACCACCCCTGAGCCTGCGCTTTTCCAGGCTGAAGAGTCCCATGTCTCTCAGCCTCTCCTCATAAGGTCTATTTGCCCTCTGATCATGCGCATAGCTCTTCTTGAGACTCTCTTAAGCTTCTCCATGTCCTTCTTGAGTTGTGGAGCCCAGAATTGGATGCAGTACTCCAGTTGCAGCCTCACCAAGGCTGAGTACAGCAGGAGGAAATGTAAACAGAGAATATCCTCCAGGATGTTTGTGTCTTTTATAACAACAGAAACTCAACAACAATAACTAGAAGCTAGATGGACCCTGCTGACAGCATTATGGCTGCTTTAAGCTTAAGTAAGTTGCCCATGAGAATCTGGATACAGCTTATGAAATCCAACAACAGTGTTTTAATTATCATCTTTCTATAAAACTCCTCCAAAAGCATATTCTTGATTTAAATGATATGGGAAAACATGAGCACCAGCCAGGCATACACCATATTATGATTTCTTGCCTACTCCTTGTAGGGAGGCCAACTATATTGATTGTACCTTTAGCTGTACACTGCTTCCTTGAGCCTGGTGGGAATTTTCTGATGCATGAGAGTTTTATCAGAAAATGTCCATTTGTTAGATCTGAAATTTCCCCCCAAAACATCTCTGGCTCCAGGAATTTTTTATCAAATCACATGCAGGTTTCACGCAGGAAACAGCTTCATTTTCTGTCAGGATGCTGAAGACCCTGGGATTCCAATGCTGCCCTGCCCTGCCCTGCCATGCAGACTGCCCCCTGGCTTGCCTGTGGTCAGGGAGCTGGGAATTTGAAAGACTTGTGAGTCTTTGTTCTGACTAGAGCTCAGCCTTCAGCTGTCTGGCATGGAGATTTGCATTCCTGAAAGCCCTTTGAGAACCTGCGCTAGCACCCAAATGAAGTAGGTGGGAGCTTTGAGAATCTGATCTCCCAGCCATAGAGCTCAAAAACCATGGCATCTCCACTCTAAACAGAGTTCATCTAGTCCAATAGTTCTCAGTTTCATTAGACTGTAGGCACCCTCGAAAAAATGCCAACTCCTAATTTTCACTCATTTTTTGTGTACAGAAAAATAATAGAGCAATTCTTGTTTCAGAGAATTCAGAAAGATCATAATACATCAAAACATTTTTAACACTATGGTTTCCTATTTGAAATCTCTGAGAACTAGCATTGTGTGGCATCCTGCAGCATCACAAAAGCATCTCAAAGCACCTCAGGGTGCCATGGCATCCTGGTTGAGTATCCCCGAGATAACCTTTTCAGAATGTCAGCTTCAGTATGCTTCCAGCATCTTGTGGAATATGTTGTGTTTTGGAAACAACTTGTGTTTCTAATTCATGGGAAATTTCCAAAACTTTAATTTCATCACTGATTCCAACCAGTGAGAGTGAAGTGTTTGTGTAACATGTAGCAAATAACGACAGCATTTTCAGTTTACATCTGGACAAGGAAGATATACAAAGAAATGACTTTATTATACTCTGTCTATTGAATTAAGAAGCAAAATCACAGCTTTTAACCTGAAGTTTTATGGCCAGATTCTCATTGGTTTTGCTAGTAATTGTGGTCTTTGGAGCTAATCCAGATTCATACTGAGAGAAGAATCTGGCCCTAGGGCAGCAAATTCAGACTATCCTCTAGGGGAGTAGTGAATATTGCCATAGCTGTCTCTAATTGAAAGCACTAGAAGACATTCATGAGGAAATGAAACAAATACACTTCAGCTGTAGCAACAAAGATCCATTATGAGTATGGATGGGTGTCAGTCATGGTAATTATGGAATCCGTGACTTCTTAGTCTTTGGGTCATGGGGGCTGATATCAGGCTGCTTTTCTGCTGTTATCAGCAAGACCAGTTGCTGACATTTGAGGGCACAAGGGGAAATCAGTAAATTTCCCTTCCCCCAAATACATTCTTCAAGACAAGTAGCGCAATGTTGGTGCAGCATTCTCTACTCTTTATTTGGACAGAAGCCTGGGGAGTGATGTTGGAGTTAGTAAATGTTGTTAGAAGCCTGTCATTACCCACTTGGCAAGCAGGGAGCCAGGCTTGCTTTGCCCTTTCAGAAGGCTGGAAAATGGGTTTGTCAGCACTGGGAATTAGAAGAGCATGGGAATGGTTAAGACATACTTCCTTGGTTGTCACACATGGAACACTGTCAGCATTCTCATCCTCTACTGCAGAAAAAAGCAACGCATCACACATTGCAACTGCATCTCCTCGCCTTTCCCTTTCAATGCCTTGCAGTTTGAGGTCGACATGAGAGTCTATTTGAACCTTATAGAGTAACTAAATACAGTTTCAGTTCAGAGTTCTTGTAAGTAGATGTTTGTGAAAAGTTTATAAAGAAATACAAATCTACATGCACTGACCTCCCATCCATAAGCTCTTCGGTATAAAGAATGTCTATTTATTGAAGCCAGGACAGAAGTGAGAGGTGCACCTAGGTCCTGTGTTTTCTCCAATTAAAGATGTTACATAAATTAGCTGCAGAAGGCACATATAAAGCACTACATTTCATGAAGCCAACAAATAGTCAAAGCAGCTCCTTGTAATTCTTCTCGAAAAGTTACCAAGCCTTCAGGTTATCTGTCTTTCTTTAGTAGAGTTTTCCAACTTCTGTGAAATCAACAATAGTTGCTCTGACCTTCTGGGCTAGGGACAGACATTACACACAAACCAGTTTAAGTGATCAGAAACTGGTTTAAACCTGTAGCACAACAGATGTTCAGTAAACATAAACCAGTTTGAAAATGACTGAAAGCAGTTTAAGATAAACCTGGTTAAATGTAGTATGAGACTTAACTGATTTGGCTCAAACCAGTTTATGCAATGTCTGTTCCAGACACCTTGCTGGTTTAAGATAAACCAGACAACCCCAGCATCCCAGTATGCTCTCTGGGCTGGGCAGAGCTCTCTGTTTCACAGCAGGCCTGGCCCCTCCCCTCTGCTTCCTGGGTGCAGCTCAGGCAGAGATTTGCAGAGTGCTCCCCCCCTCCCCCTCACCACTCCCTGCTAAGCAGGAATTCCTCCCCCTCCCCTCTGCCTTGCTGAGGAGGTGTCCATGTATTAGCTATCAGACCACATGCTGGCTACCGTCTATGCTGAATCAAGAGGCAGAATCAACAGGTAGCTGGTAATGTCCATCTGTTGTTTTCTTAATGGGGTGATAACACTGAGTTAAGGGATGATAAACACTGTTATCAATTCCCTGCTAGGCTAATCAGAGCGTCCTGCTGGGGTCTGGCCACGCCCCCCCTCAGCTCAGCCCTGTGGAAGGGATGAGTAGGCTGCTCTAGCACCCCTCACCTTCTAGCCTGAGCCACTGCAGGAATGTGCCTGCATGTCTGGGATGTCTATGAAGTTACAAACTACTAGGTTTAGCCTAGTTAGATTAGACTAACCTGCAAAGATTGAATTGATTCAGGCTCAGGCTTTTTGACTGTCTGTCCCTTGCCCTGGTGTTTATCTAGAATTTGTCTTTATCATTGCTTCTCCCTTGATATAAACCAGCTGTTCATCTCTGAGACCTGACAGCTTTCTTTTTCCAAAGGTCCTTCTTATATGGATAGATATTTTGTGCTCAGCAATAACATTTGACAGTTTTCAGTTCCAATTCCTTTATCTTTTGGATGGTAGCTCTGAGTCTCAGGGTCTCATCAAAGTCTATTCTGCTTTCAAATAATACAGACCTAGGATGCAAGGATCATTTTTAGCTCAATAGGTCTTTAATTTAACCTTATCTGAGACTGGCTTAAAAGTGTGTCTGCATAATATATTTTAACAGAGGCATAGCTAACAATTTCATACCCTGGGTAAAAAAGGGAGACATAGCAAGTGTTAAAGAATGTCACGTGGTGGGCTCCCCACACCCTGGCTGCTGTTGCCACTGCATGGCCATTCCCTCTAAATTGGTGCCCAGAGTTGGTGCCCCACCCTTGTTTCACTACTTCATTGTAAATATAATTACCTGTTACCACCATCCACATTAAATGCAACATGTATTTTATGTCATATAGTATGGTAGGTATTTAATGGTGTTTTAAATATTGTGCCAGGATCATCAACCCAGTAACCTCTGAAACCTGTAATGCTTAAAAACCCCTTTTATATGTTTTTCTGCAGGTGTCAGTGTTATACCTGGTTGACAGAACAAGCAGTTTCTTATTAGATGTAGCATTATTCTGAGGTGAATACTGACAGTACATGGAGGCTATGTACTGTCAGTATTCTCCATAGCCAACATTGTCTCCATAGTCTAAGTATATTTGGTTCCATTTGGCAATCTCCTCTTACCCATGTAAAGGAAAAAAAATCCTTATTAATTAAGAAGCCACTGATAACATTCAACATGAGGTGTGAGTGACTAGAAATTCAGTACAAATGGACCAATAGACAGGGTAGTATGGCTCTCAAGTAGCTTTGCTTGTTTCAGGAGCAAAAGATTATTGTCAGGTTTAACAATAGGGAGAAATGTTTCAAGGAAAACTTTAGTAGTTTTGAATGTTCATTACTCAGGGAGTATGGCTTCACTGGCAGTATAGGGTCACTGGTCACCCTTGACTCCTTTCTCATAATGGAAGCCAGTATTATAACAGGGGTCACCAACTCTCTGCTATCAGGAAAATCCATCTGTATATTCATATTCATACACCTCACCAAGATCACTTCTGCTTTCAGGAAATCAAGGTAAATAATTCTAAAGGGTTCTCAACCAGACTCCTTCCAAAATTCCTGTAGAGGCTGCAACAATTGCAGAATGAGAAATGTATGTATTTTTCTATCAGATAGAGTGAAGGATTCAATTATGCCTGTCCTCTGCAAACTGAACTGGATATTAATACACCAAAGGATATAATTTAAGTAGCAAAATTAGTATGAAGAGCCCCTTTGTAATCTAAATCCTCAGAACTTGACTGATCACTTCTTATGATCTCTTCTTGCCTGACAAGTACAAATAGTTAGGATGAATCTGTTCTTAGTAATGGTCTAACATTTAAATGAGCAGAATGTACTGCCACATCCCCTATACAGTTTTGATAATCTCAAATAGTTTCCCAGACAGACCCATCAGAGTCTCTTGCTGCTTGGCTTTAAAGTACACTGCAAATCCATTTTGGGGTATATTTTTCTTATGGTAATTTGGTGTGCCTTTGTGATAAATTACTTTGATGTGGTTTAGATTACGTGTGTGGTTATCTTCTCTCTCTCCTCCCTCTACCCTTTAGTGTTTGTTTTATAATAGTTTTTGTGCAGTAGTTGAGTTCCTTATAAAAGATACCGTTATTTAAATATGTTAAGGGGCCAAAGCAGTCTATCTTTTCATATACAGTATAATGGTTGGAACACATACAACAGAAATATTCATGTTTACTGAAGCCAAACCAGTATCAAACATACTACCAGTATTGCAGTCAGTGAGCAGAAGTGGCTCCATTTCTCTTGCTAGTCCTAGTAGAAGTATGGGACAGAATTTTATTTTACCTAGTAGAAAACCAAAGTGTAGGTTGGGACCAACTCTGAGTTACCTGACTATAGTGCAGGAGTGAAACTATTACCTACTTCAGACACATAAATGGCCCTATTGTAGAAGCAGATGTCTGTCTATTCCTATAACGGGGGCATATATGTGCCAAGAGCAGATAAGAGAATCACTTGTATACTATAGCAATTAAATTCAGAGCTGCTCCCAAGTTATGCTTTGGTCATCTCCTAGGTAAAATAGAATTCTACCCAGGAGGTTGATTTGTGTTACATTTATCTAATAATGTTTCTCACTACATTTTTCTAGGGTGCAAGTGCTTACATCCTAAACTATTTTCTCTACATTATGTGGGCTCTATGTTTTGCTTTCCTGGCAGTCTCCCTGGTAAGGGTGTTTGCACCTTATGCCTGCGGTTCTGGAATCCCAGAGGTGAGTTTCTTTTAGATGATGTATGTTTAAAAACTGATGGGTTGAAACAATGATCTCTGAAATGGTACAGACTGAAGTAGTGGCCAGGTTCTCAGATGGGGGTTGCAGGAGACTCCAGTCCTGTAGATTGGGAGACTTGTTATACATGTTTCTCAAAAAGTTACACAAACATGTGCCTAGAAATCCAGCAGATGCAATTACTTGATCCAATTTTAAAGAAACAGATAACATTTTAGAAGCCAAGAATAAAAGAAATAAAAAGTTGGGGCTTCACAAGACTAACCTTTTTGGAGTTTTTGTGTGTCCAGGGATGCCTTAAAGCTCCATTTACTGAGCACCCAACCATTCAAAATCAGGTCCCCATATGGTGTTTCAAGTTTGCCATTTAGGTCTATAGTTGGATGATCTTCTAATCAAGAGGTAATGCAAAATTATTCAGTACTTTTGGAAATTAGGGCATTTGCTTCTAAAAATCATTATAATAAGATCTATATACTACTTAAGATTTAGGAGTATAAATGTAAGTTTCAGTCCTTGAAAATCTTAGCCTTAGTTTTTAGACGGATCATTTATAAAAAGTGGGTGCATCAACATGTGCAAATGCTGTGGGGTGAGTTTATTCTAGAGTAAATTACTTTAGAGTAAACCCACCCTGGACAGGTGTCTACATGTGCGGGGATGCAGGAGCAGATTTGCAGCTCCTGGCAGCTACCTGCTCCCATCCCCTCTGGCTCTGCACTGGCCCCCTGCAGCAACCAGGGGGAGCTCTAGAGGCTGGCAGGGAGCACAGGGCCAGGAGACAACCATCTTCTGGTGGGTGCTGGGAGAGTGCTCCCTGCCTTCAGGAGCTGCCTACTGCTGGGGTGGACTCCATCAGCAGAGCCCAGGCGGGGATAATGCCCCCCTGCACTGGCAACTGGGGGAAGGATGCTTGGAAAGAGCTGCAGGGCAGGGGCAGGTCTTAGCTCTCTACCCTGATCCTCCAGTGGGGCAGCTAGCAGTGAGCCCCCAACTAGGCGGGGATTACCCACCCACCAGGAGGCTTGCTGCTGGATGGCCCACCAGTGGATTGGGGCATGGGGCTGGGACCTGCCCCCTCCGCACAGCTCTTTCCAAGCCCCACACCTCAATCACCCAATTGGGGCACAGGGCTGTGACATGCCCCTGACTGGGGCAGTTGCCAGCCAGCCCTGAGCTGTGCAGGGAAGTCTGCAAGTGAAGCCTGGAGTTGGCTGGGGATTACCTGAAATGGGACAGTCCCCAGCCACCTCCAGGCTGCACATGAAGACTTTCCCATGCAACCTGGGGCTGGCTGGGAACTGTCCTGTTCAGGAACAGGTCACAGCCAGCTCCAGTCTTAGCAGGGAACTCTCCCTATGCAGGGAGCTCCTAGTCCCTGCTCCACAATTACGATAGCAGAGCAGAGGCTGGGAGCTTGTTCCCAGTCCCCACTCCATGATCATGGAGCAGGGGCTGGGAACAAGCTCCCAGCCTTTTCCCAGCCTCAGTTCCATGATCAAGATTGTGAAACAGGGGCTAGGAACAAGCTCCCAGCCCCTGCTCTGTGATCGGGGAGCCAGGCCTGGGAGCATCCTGGTGCCAGGGCAGAGGAACATTGTCCCCACCTGGGCTCCAGTGGCAGAGCCTGCCTCAGCAGTAGGCAGCTCCTGGGGTCAGGGAGCAATCTCCCATCCCTTGCTGCCCAGCTGACCAGGAGCAAGTTTGCTCTCAGTCAGCCATCTAAACATGCTGTACTGCGCAGTAACTAACTGTGAGTAAATTTGCTACTTGAATTTACAGGTAGCAAGTATACTCATGATTAAAACAAATTACTGTACAGTAAGCATCTAGACGTGTAGATGGTGACGCTTACTGCAGAGTAATTTGCTCTAATCTTGAGTAAAGCATCTTGTGTAGATGTGCCCAGTATATATCTAATCATTCCTTTCTTTTTATTAATATTATGACTTCTAACCAAGTCATAAAGTTTACTGTATAAATACATTTTAAATTACAGACTGTGCTTCCAGGGGCTTACAGCCTACACAGCACTCTAAGGCTACATCTATACTCCTGCCTGGTTGGTCTGGAGATTACTGATGATCACAGACACTCTACCTATGCCCAAATTCACCAATTAAGTCAGTGGGTAAATAGCTCAAGTACTGGATGCATGACACTGAAAGCCTGAGAATGGTGTTGATCTGCACCTACTGCTCTAGTTGCTGCACTCTGGAGTGAGAGCAGAGCTGAGTAAGTAGGCCCTGTTTCTTAGCAGCAGTCTCAGACTCAACAGGGATGCAGCATAGACTTGCCTTAAAACTGGTTTCACTTGAACATTCTCAGTCAATTCTTTTTCAGTGCAGCCAGCCAAAGAGTACCCATGAAAAGCTGTGCCTCCTCAGATGACAATTCAGCCCTCTATATTGGTCCCATTTTGTCTTGCTGAAATGTGACATGGAGAAATAAATAAATAAAAGCTAAGGACATTTTTACATATCTATGCATCACAGCACTGGGTGTTTTGAAAAGTGCCCCCTGCTGCAACACACAGAATTGTATACGTGACGAAATGTGCGTCAAGACTGATAAAATGGCGGTGGTGCACTTTTGATCTAAAATATCTCAGAAGTGCTTTAGTTCAAAAAGTGCACGGCTGCCATTTTCTGTGTGCTGACATGCATTTTGCCACTTATACAAATGCACGCAGCGCAGTGCAGTTGGCCTCAGCTCGTGTGCTGAGCAGGCTGAATTAATCGAGTCTGCTCCGAAGCAGCGGAACTCTGGCGTGTTGCTGGAAAAAAAGTACGTGTATAAATGCCCTAAGACTGTTGGCTGCGGGTGCATATATAAGAGGGTTTTAGGCAGGTTTTGAGGGATAAATTCCAAATAACTTTTTTGCCTGTGGCAAATCTGAATTTTATCTTAAAAATAACACTTTAGTAAGTCAGTTTCATAGCACTTCTGTATTTTGATGATGGTTGGAAATAAAGGAAGGAACTCCCAGTTGCATCTTACTAACACTAGCTCTATAAACTGTCCATATGAATTGCAGACACCAGTTGACATCCATGAGACAATACTTAGCTTGTAAAGTTGTGTCTGGTAACATCTACACAGGCTATGGATCCACAAATGGGTTGTGGCAAGTCAAGCTGCCTCAATTGTAAAAAGTTATGGAAAGGTGATGCAGGGACCGTTTTCTTATGCTTTCAAATGCCTGCCTTCCAGTGCACAACTTGCTGGTTTTTCTTTATTTTAAATTCACAACCTGCTCATTTGTGCACGGGTGTTGTGGTGTGAGTTGCTTCATGTCTATGCATTTAAGCTGTTGCTTCTCCATGCACATGTCTATAGCCTTAGATATCCCTGCAGGAAAGTCACTTTAATTTTTGCTCATTCCCCATTGACTTCAGTCAAGCAATGAATGATTTACCATTACAGCTTTTAAATCAGTTTTGCAAAATCAGAGTTGAAGAAGTGTATTTAGTTCTTCAACTTATTCTTCCTGCCTTCCAGATAAAAACCATCTTGAGTGGCTTCATTATTAGGGGCTACCTGGGGAAGTGGACACTCTTAATCAAAACTGTTACCTTGGTGCTGGTGGTGTCTTCTGGCCTCAGCCTCGGAAAAGAAGGTCCATTAGTACATGTAGCTTGTTGCTGTGGTAATTTCTTCAGCAGCCTCTTCTCAAAGTACAGCAAGAATGAAGGAAAGAGGAGAGAGGTAAGCATGGGTTCAAATTGGCATTTTACACACTTTAAATATACTCACCCCCTCAAAGGACATACGCCTTGTCTAACAAATATTTGTGTTGTGTAGGTGCTTTCAGCTGCAGCTGCTGCAGGAGTTTCTGTTGCCTTTGGTGCTCCAATTGGCGGTGTCCTTTTTAGTTTGGAAGAGGTAAGAGGCAACTGTTCTGTTATCACAATATCCATTATCAATATTCTTCATCAACCGGAAAAAAAACAAATACTTTCATTGACTTCCTTTTAAAATTTTCTCAATATTTTTATTTTAGTGCTTACTGAAACACAGGAAATCTTTAATTGTTACTAGAAATAATTTGGTATTTCTTCTTACCAGCATTCTGGAAGAAGAAGAGTCTTCTGGAGTTAACCAACCAATGGTGTGTGGGGTGTGTGTGTGTGTGTGTGTGTGTGTGTGTGTTTTCAGAATATAATCACAAAGCAATAGGCTGTGTTCCTTGAAATTTGTAAACAAAGACTGCAAAACCTTGCTGTTGCATGTCTAATAATTAGAACTCCAGCACATCCAGGTAAACCAGCATTGTTCAATGGCTTGCTTATAGAGTTATGTTTATTTTTCACTGTCAACAGTCCCCTTCTGAAGTTTGAAAATGCCTTGTCGTACACATGGATGATCACATTCTTATTGGAAACACACTTATGGAGCCCCATTAACGTCAAGTGTATCATTACAGACTAAACAAACTATGGTTGCCTACAGCGCACCATAAAAGTGGGTAATAAAGCAAACATTTTAAGTCCCACTAAGTTAATTATTTACTGTTTCTGTTTGTTTTAGGTTAGCTATTACTTTCCCCTGAAAACCCTCTGGAGGTCATTTTTCGCTGCTCTTGTGGCTGCCTTTACGCTGAGGTCCATCAATCCATTTGGAAACAGTCGACTGGTCCTTTTTTATGTGGAGTACCATACCCCCTGGTATATGGCTGAACTTTTCCCATTCATTCTTCTTGGAGTCTTTGGAGGGCTATGGGGAACACTCTTTATCCGTTGCAATATTGCCTGGTGCAGGAGGCGCAAGACCACCAAACTTGGGAAGTATCCAGTGCTAGAGGTCATTGTGGTAACTGCCATCACTGCCATCATTGCCTATCCTAATCCGTACACCAGGAGAAGTACCAGTGAGCTGATCTCTGAACTTTTCAATGACTGTGGTGCTCTGGAGTCCTCACAACTTTGTGATTATATCAATGACCCAAATATGACCAGACCTGTAGATGACATTCCTGACAGGCCTGCGGGTCCTGGCGTCTACACTGCAATGTGGCAGCTCGCCCTGGCTCTGATTTTTAAAATTATCATCACAATATTTACTTTTGGCATGAAGGTAAACTAAAGACTGATATAAAGTTAATTGTTGCAATCCATATTTAGTGTTAAATTTGAACTTTAGCTTAGAGCCTACAGTCTCTCCCATGAAGGTTATAGACACCTGGCATGAGGCCAGTGATGTCCATGAGAATGAGCTAATTTTGAAACACAAGATGTTCCTAAGACCCTGATAAACTTGCACTGGCTACCATGATAATGTTACAAGGATAAGCTCTTTGGTGCATCTTGTAGATTTCTTTGATTTCTTCACTGAAAAAAATATGGGTAATTCATATTGCAAAATTCAAATTGTAACTTTCAGTTGTCCTCATACAACTTCATAAATGAGATCTCTGCTGGCACTGTAGCTCAGTTCACTTAGAAATAACTGGCATCTTGTATTTATGTCTATGCTATTAAATTTAGGTTGTGAAATAATACAGTATAGTCAAGTTACACTTGTTAGGAGAATCATAACTTTGAGTTTACTGTTTAATATAATTAAAAGTTTATGAAGCTACAAAAATGGGCAGCACTTTGAAAAAAACAAAAGCTCATCTGTAATATTTTATCAGTACATGCCTTTTTATGTATTTTATTTCTTTATAATTTCATTCTAAAAAGCAAAACTTAGGGGGAAAAAAGGTTTAGTAGTTTTTAATGAGGGCAGTCTCAGACCAACGGCATCATCACTTCGGGAAATTGTGGTGTATAGTACTGTCTCCAACAAGGAACCCTAGTACACAGCTGAGATATTTTTGTTAAATTTTTACTGAATTTCATTCCAGATCCCTTCAGGCCTTTTCATTCCTAGTATGGCGGTAGGAGCTATGGCTGGAAGAATGGTTGGAATTGGAGTGGAGCAGGTGGCCTATCACCATCATGACTGGATCATCTTCAGGAATTGGTGTAGGCCAGGAGCAGATTGTGTCACTCCAGGACTTTATGCTATGGTGGGAGCTGCGGCATGCCTAGGTATAGTATGTGGTAGGCTTTGTTTTGTGCAATAAAAAAGCTGATATCCAGACATATTGTTAGCTTTTTAAAATTGTTAATAGAATTTCATGCTCTGAGTAGGTTCTGTGCTGACAATCCTAGAAAAAAAAATCACATGACCAGGTATATAAAAGTATTTTAATGGATGTTCTACAAGACAGAAGGTAGTTGTCCATGCCTATTCACACTTAGTACTCTCTGATAAACTGGCTAAAAACAATCCTAATTTTAATGCCTCAGGGAGAAGGTCATAATAAAAACAGAATTTGAATCCATCCCAAAAACATTTCTCACTTTGACGGAAATGTGCAAACATCAACCCTGATCACATTATTTCTCTTTTCAAGTTTTTCATGTCCTGTATCTCCTACAAATTCTACTTCTATTTGATATTTAGACAGGAAGATGTATGAATTAGGATTAATGCAATGAAATGAAAACTGAGTTCAGAGCACTAGCATGAAAATTCCAGTTTCAGTTTCCTATAGCCAATTAAGATAATCTGTGACATCAGGAACACAGGACGCTAATGTCAGAACTGGTCAGTAAGCATATGTCATCTTTTTAATCGATTTAATTTTAGAGTGGAAACATTTTTCTTCAGTATCAGCAATCAAAAACTCTTTACTTGTTCATCCATTAGCAAGCAGTCATTTTCTTTTTTATAATGCCACCAACTACCAGGTAACAATTATGGGTGCTGACAGAAGTGATATTTGTTGCATGACTGGCCCCCTGAAATTGTTCTACGAGCCATGCCCTGACAGAAGTTCACGGTTGCAGGGCACTTTAAAAGTGTCTGATTGCGTGACAAATTAACCCTCATTTAATAAGTGTTCAGATGAAGGTGTTCCAAAGCAGAGCACTGTAATTAACTTCTGTTTTCCCTTGCATGCAAGCAGGGCTGGGCTGCATCATCCCAGCCCCACCCGTGGTGCTGTCTTCAGGATAGGAGTGGGGAGAAGGCAGGGGAGGAAGCTCCAGTCTGGGGTTTGCCCAGCCTGCACTTGGTGGTGGTGGTGGGGGGGCTTCAATTCACCCCCGCCTCAAGTGCAGGCTGGGTAAACCCAAGTCCCAAGCTCCCTTCCCCTGCCTTCTCTCCAACCCTGAAGATGGGTCCAGAGCTGGGAGGGGAGGGGCAGGGCTAAGGAAGAGAGGCTGCAGACATGTAGCCACTCTCTGCTGGATGACTCCAAAGTGGAGCGAATGTCGGTTGGGTTGGGGAGTGGGGGGGTCGCTGTAACTCATGGCACTTTCTGTGAAGTGCTACGAGTTATAATGGGGAGCTGCCGATCTGTCAGCACCCTGTAGCTACATTGCTGTATCTGTACCAATATATAAAAAACAGCTTTTAATGATATATTTTTTCGTCCTTAAAATGATGAAGTATTTTGAGGCTTAAAGTAGCAAATCCTTACAATTATCTTTTGAGCTGATTCAGCAACATCACTTAACAACACAGAGAAACCTACGCAGTTGTTAATAAACTGTGGTTACAAAATTATTATTATTCTATATCATAAATTGAATCAGGAAGCAAACTGCTTATAAAATGACCACAAAAACTGCCTAAACATGTGCTTGGAGGTGTTTGTGTGTGTTGGGGGTGGGGGGAGAGGCATTTTAATTAGAGTGGTTTCTGGGCAGTCACTCTAATTGAAATGCCACTGTGTCACATGTATTGAGCCCCAGTGCATTTAAAATGCCCACGGGATGTTTTATCTAAACCTTTTTTGATGAGGTTTAGTTAGTGTCCCATAGCCATTTTTAAACATACACATGATGCTGTAGCAACATTGCAGAGTTCTAGTTCTGACGCATTCTATTTAGAATGCATTGGAGCACGTGCATAGGAAGCCAAAGAGACTAGAATGAAAGATGGTATAACTAGGACTGATTTTCTTATAGAGGGATTCATAGCTAAGTTACACAAAGCTTCACAAACATGTTTTGTGGAAGCCACTTACATGATGACAGCCAAGTTACATAGGTCATACAAGGAAAGCACTACATTATCATAATGTATCATAATGCACTTCAAGTACATTTACATAATTTGTTTGAGTTTTCCATTTTCTTGATAAGCATAATTCTTAAACATTTTATTTTCAAATTAGTAAACATGCCTGTTGACAATTGTACATTAGTGAAAAAGTCAATAATGAAATAAATATCATCTGTGTTTGCATGTTATCTCCAGTTTAGAAAAAAAGAAAGAATAAGTAGTTTATGTGTGGTATCTTTTGTATCAGAAGTATAATTAATTACTTTTGCACCCTGGGAAAAACTTCCTTGCCCCCGAAGTGCTGGGGATAGGAAGGGCTGTCTTATCTGCCCCAGGTTCCTGTACTCGGCTCCTCCAGCTAGGTGGTTCAGGTTTTATCTGCCCAGCTTCTTTGGCCAGGTGGTGCAGGGCTGTATCAAGTTTGTGGATGATCATGCTTGTTCATGCTTGAAGATAGGCTGCAGATACAGGTGGACCTAGACAAGCTGGCAAGTTGGGCAGATTGGAACCAGATTAAGCTCAACATTGAGAAGTCTAAAGTGCTCCATCTGGGGACAAACAATCCCCAACATACTTACAGGCTCAGTGGTGCCAACCGGACTATCACCATGACTGAAAGGGACCTAGGGGTAATAATAGACCATAATATAAATATGAGTCATCAGTGCAATGCTGTAGCCAGCAGGGCAAACAATACTCTGGCATGCATCAACTGATTCATCTCAAGCAAAACCAAGGAAGTGATTCTTCCACTTTACTTAGCATTGGTGAGACCACAGCTGGAGTACTGCATCCAGTTCTGGGCACCGCACTTCAACAAGGACATGGAAAAGCTTGAGAGAGTCCAGAGAAGAGCCACCCATATGATCAGAGACTTGCAAGGCAAGCCACATGAGGAAAGGCTGAGTGACTTGGGACTCTTCAGCCTAAAATAGAGAAGGCTGAGAGGGGACTTGGTAGCAGCTTACCACTTCATCAGGGGAATACATCAAGGGCTTAATGAACAAGTGTTCACCAGGGCACCCTGGAAATCTTCAAGAGGAGACTGGACGGTCACCTTGCTGGGGTCACCTGACCTCAGTTATCTTTCCTGCCTAGTGCAGGGGGGCTGGACCTGACGAACTTGCGAGGTTCCTTCCAGCCCCTTACAATCTATGAATCTGCCTGACTCTTATAGCCAGGCAGTGCAGGCTGCTTGAGCCTGGCTTTTTGGTCAGGTAATACAGGCTGCTCCAGTCTAGTTGCTCTAACTGGGTGATGAAGGGCTGTTTATGCTGCAGCCAAAATGGGGGGTTGGCATCATTCTGTTTACCCCGCTAAGTTAGAATCTAAGGCTGGGTCTCCTCTGGTCCTCTCCTAGTTACGCTTGTATCAGTTAGGAGTTTAGACTTGCATGCTCTAACGGTGTGTTAGACTATTTAATTCAAGTGATCTCCAAGTATTTATTACCTTCCTTTCAAATACTAAGAGACTTTGGGCTGAGCCAACCTATTGGAAACCATTTCTAATCAAAATTAGAGCAGATGAAATTACAGCAAGTGAAAAAGACACCATTACTTAGAGTGAAAAGGGAAGGGGTTGGATCATTCTATATACTTATGAAAACAAGAGACTAAAACACCAAAAATGTGACTTAGTTTTGAGGGGGAGCCTGAATGATCTTTCTTTTGGCAGGTGGAGTTACAAGAATGACCGTCTCCCTGGTGGTGATTATGTTTGAGTTAACTGGAGGCCTGGAATACATTGTTCCTCTAATGGCTGCCGCTGTAACCAGCAAGTGGGTAGCAGATGCCTTTGGAAAGGAAGGGATCTATGAGGCACATATTCACCTGAATGGTTACCCATTTCTGGATGTTAAGGATGAGTTTACACACCGAACACTGGCAACAGATGTCATGAGGCCTCGGCGTGGTGAGCCTGCCCTCTCTGTCTTGACACAGGATAGCATGACAGTGGAGGATGTGGAGACATTAATCAAAGAGACTGATTACAATGGCTTTCCAGTGGTGGTTTCAAAAGACTCAGAGCGCCTCATTGGATTTGCACAGAGACGAGAATTGATTCTGGCAATAAGTGAGTAAAATGTATCAGTATTGATGCAATACATATTTGAATGGGAATGAACAGGAGGTTAGTGAAGTTATGTAACCCTTAGCAATGGCTAAATAAAAAATCAAATCAAACTTTTCCTCCCAGGGTGAGGAGTGCTATGTGAGTCCTTATGTAGAAAGATGCTTAGTGGCTTCTCTGCTACAGCATACCTGTTGGCAGATCTCCAGGGCCTGATTTTCCACTCTGTTACACTGGTATGAACCTGGAATCATTTGATGGAGTTGAACCAGTATCAGGATGGTATAAATTAAATCAGAACCTGACTAATAGAATCTCTACTCTCCAGCTATATAAAGTCTCTAGTGACTTCTGTAGTGGGAGTCCACAGGTAGCTGTGAGCCCAGCTACTACATGCAAGGCATTGGTTCCATGGTGCGTTAGTTTCTGTTATCACATCAGGTCACATTTATTCTTAGTTGCAAGCATTCAATGCTGGTTAGAAAATTTCCAGCAGAAAGCTTGTCTATCAGAATATGCTTATTCATCAAAGTCTACACTTTTAGAGGGGATGGTTCTGTGGAAGCCACATTAGGCAGAGGTCTAATGGAAACTTGTTTTAAGGTATGTTTCCTGCCTGGTTCCTCTGAAGCACAGGTTTCCAGGGGCCCAGCTTTTCAGAAGCCTGCCTGATAGGGATAATGTGAGCTCTGGCTTCCAAACTACCATCTCCTCAGTAGCCTGAGTCCTCAGGCTTTCCATGGTCCATATGTCTGGTCTAGTTACCTTGGTAGTTTGCTCTCAATTCAGGACCATCAAGGTTTCCAAGGTGTATAGCAGCACTGGAGACAAGCCAGGCAAACTTTGTGAGAGTTGGACACAAAGGCTTTCCCTTTCTCAGGGAATGTTGATATTTTTGGATTTCATTTCAATTTGGAATGAAACCAAATCGCAACATATCAAAATCTCCTTGAAATGAGATTACCCTTTAAATAGGTCTATTTAAATCTTGCAGAGGCTGTGACCCTGTAGACCCTGTGCACTCAGAAGAATGGAACAGGGGAAGCTCTTGAGCTCTTTAGAAAAAAAAAAGAATCTGTGAATAGAAAATATGAGCTATTTTGATAATTGGCATTCCTACGTACAAGGACTTTTCCCAAAGCTAGAATAAAACTTGACAGCACACATGATCTGAAAGCCAAGTGCTTTTTTTTTTCAAATGTTCTTCTATATTAAAGGGATATTGCCTAAATGATTAGATCTTACAATTAAATTGATTGTTAATAAGTATCCTTCAGTCATTTGATTCCCACACTTCCCCCTTCCAGAAAAGCTGTGATACCAAAAATATAAAGTATTAGGAAGGGAAAAACTCTGTGTTTTATTTGGACCTCATTTTACTGCTGTGAGTTTAATAATTCTAGATACATTATAAAATGACTAAAGTTTGTATCTTATTGTTTTCTTTCTAAATATTTTTAAAATGTCTTCTGTACTCTCTTGCAGAACCTTAATACATGTCTAGGATGCACTGAGCCTCTTCTGTGGCTTTCTTGCACTTTGTAGCTAGGGACAGAACACATAAACTGGTATAAATAATCAGAAACCAGTTCACATCTGTAACACAATGAAAGTTAAGTGCACATAAACCACTTTCAAAATGGCCAAAACAGGTTTCAGATAAACCTGGATGGATGCAGTATCAGACTTAACTGATTTAAGTTAAACTGGTGTATTGAACTTATGTCGCAGGTGCCTTCCAGATTCAAATTAACTCACAGTCCCCCAGTATCCCAGCATACTTTGCACTTCCCCCACAAATCTTCCCTCAGAGGGTGGGCAGGCTAGGCTTGGCTCAGGCTGCCTGCTCCAGCCAAGCAGAGAGGCATGCTCTTGCACCCCTCAGCTTCTGTTCTGAGCCCCTGCAGGCATATGGCTGCATTTCCAGAATCAAAATAAATGTCTGCTCACTTGCTTATACAGCTTAGACTAACCTGTAAAGATTGAATCAATTCAGCTTCAGGCTTTTTGACTGCCTGTACTTAGCCTGTGTAGCCATGTAATGCATGTTACACTAGCTACCACTGTGATTTGGTATTCTGTTCCATTTATTTTGCAATCATGCCAGTGACTAGAAAAGCTGCATGATTATTTTAAAAGAACCCCCTGAAATGGGTTTGAAATGTCAGGAATAAAACCTTTTGAAACTGCTGCTGAACAAGCAATCTGACTGCTTTGTATGCTGGGAGAGGTGAATGTGTGGTCCTGTCTAATTCTGCACCATTAATTAAGAAATTAATCAAAAGTAAAGCTGCCAACATTTTTTATCCAAACTATTTCCCCACTGGAAAATGGTTACTTTGATCCCCAAATTGTCCATAAGAAAAAAAAAAATGCTTTCTGATCAGCTCTATTAAAAAGAGTGCCTGACAGGCCTGAGGCAGAATCAAGAATTAAAAATCAATTAAGAATTATTACATGAGAACCCCAACCCCCAGCAATGGCAAGAGAACAGAGCCTTGCTCAGAGATTTGTTATTCAGATCTTTATTGGAGGCAGAACATGCAGGCATCTAAAACCTCCTACGTGTAGACAAACAAATCAGTTTCACCCGTAGAGCAGCAGAGGCTCTTACCCACCACTTCAGGGGAGAGTTGCTGGGTTGTCACCCTTCCTACATTCTCTTACTGTTCATTAGCATTTCCAAACCCATTGTTAGATATTCCCTTATAGTATTTTAATTATGAAAACGTTGATTAAATAAGCATCATAGGGGGCATACTTTTCTACCTTTTTTCTCCTGAATAGTTATGCTTAATTTCTTAACCCAATGCTGCGAGTGGAGGGGGAATGACCTGGCCCAATGGTGGGGAGCGGCATGGGCTGGCTCCAACTTGGCCCTGCGGGGTAAGGAGGCATAGCTTGGCCCCAGCCCGGCCCCATGGGTGGAAAAGGACATAGCCTTGCCCTAACCTGGCCCCTGGGTGGGGAAGTGGTATGGCCCAGCTCTAGTCCAGAAGCAAAGGGGTGGGGGGTGATGATCTGGCCCCATAGGGGAATGGTGCATAGTCAGGCTCCAACTGGGCACATGGGGCTTGGACTTGGGGATTTTGGCAGAAGGGAAGGTGGCTGTATTAATGGTTACCACTCCCCTGCCACCAAATTTCCTAACCCATGGGGAGACCCATGGGCCCAATGAGATGGCTCTGCTGGCTACATTTGACCCGTGAGCTGGAGGTTGAGCCATCCTGAGCTAGACAAATCCTAATGCCCTGGGAAAGTGCAGATGTACCAAATCTTATCAATCTTTTCTTCAGAGATTTAGCTTTCCTAAAATACCCAGGACTTATCTAATTGTAATACTTTCCTTTCCCCTTTTGCTGAATGATGACTGCAGTGGGGAGGAAATGCAGCTATTTGGAAACCACACAGTTGATCTCACATCACACCACTTGTATCAGAAACTTGCTGTCAGGTTCATGTTCACACCACACTGATTCTAGGTGCTGCTCTGTGCATAAGGTTTGTCTCTCTGTATATCAAAATACTGATTTAAGTTGAGTAGTTACCTGGATGATGATGCAAAGGACAGAGAAAGCTGTGAGTCACCTGCACAGTACAGTACTAGCATTTTAGCCCGTGATCTCTTTTGAAGTCTCCAAGGCTGCAGATGAACAAATAAGCTAAAAAACTGATTCTACAAGTGTGACTTCTATGGCAGTGGGTATTCTGAAGGACTTCAAGCCATTTTCAAGCATGGCCCAATGTATTCCCTCAGTTAGGATCTCATTAGCCACCTCAGTCACAACCAACTAAACCACACATATACATGACTGGTCTTTTCCACACCGCGGACATGATATCTGATATCATGCTAGTTATGAAAGAAACAGGGATTTTTTTTCTGGTTGCAAAAGAATTGAAGAGTCAATTCCCATTTTCTTACTATCAATGTCAGTGTAATCACACTACCTGGCCATGACCAGGTAATATGTCTTAAATGTGATTGCCTTTAATTTTGGAAACATTTTTTAATGCAGTACATTTTTTTGGCTGCGAGAAGCTGTCAGTGTACAATCAAAGAGTAACCTAGATCTGGTAGGCTAATGTTTGAGGCTTATGTGATTAGGACTTGGTTCATTTCCATATTTAAAGGAATTAATTTGCTTTCTAGGCAAGAGTCTTTTCCTATAAATCTCTCCAGTTTAGTAAAGTCAGTAGTACTGAGGCTGCTTTGCTCCTTAGGCTATGTTAGGTTTGTTTTGCATATGCACTAACTGCAAGAATAGGTGCGATTATTCCATTTTACCACTTCTCTGACTTCCCATGTCTTTTAAACTGTATAAATATTGCCACTGTTGTGGTAGTACTCAATTTGGTTCAGTCTTACTCTGTCATTTACAGGAACACTTTATCTAGATAGAAATTTTACTTCCAGGTGGAAAATCAGGGCATTGGTCATTCAATGTCATTCATACCATTGTCACCGCTAGTTTGGAAGCAGGAGGTACTGGTTCTAAAGAAATGGTAACTAAAATGCCTGTGTTATTTGCTTTGAGTATAGATCAAGGAGGGTAAGCAACTTGCTCGCTTATTTAAGCTTTCTTACATAAGGAACAATTCTTATTTTGGGTCAGATAAACCATCTTCAGTTAGGTGAATGCAAAACTTGTTACCATGACATAATATGGCAAAGACCTGTGCAGACACATCCACTCTTGAAAATGAGATGTATAAATCAAAACAAGACAAGGCAAAGTTAACGTTGTTCCTGTAAATTGCAGTCGGATGTGTAATATGTAGGGTGAGAAGGTTGAAAGTCACATGCTACAGTGATATTAGATTTGAACCAGAGAAGTTCTGATTTCAACAATATTACAACAGAATGATCTTTAAGGGGAAAATAATGCAGCTGAATGTGTTGGAAATCATTACTGTCTGCATATTACAAGTCAAAGAAGCAGGTTTCTGTACTTTGATTGATGGAAATAAGCTCTGAGAATATATACATTTGCATCAAGTATGAGCTGCTGTACTGCTCAAGAGTAGAAGCAACCTGAATCAATCAAAGGAGATCATTCTAACCATTTTCTAAGATTTGGGATGAAAAAAACACCCATAAGATATGTTTAGGTGGTATCTATCATCATCCCTGGGATTTCATCTCTCATGTTGTTAGCACCACATGCAGCTGAACAGCAAGTGAGCAGCCAGTGAGGAGAAAAGTACAAAGAAGATCAGTCATTTCTAGTCTAACAACAATTGTTAAAGGCATACATTAAGGTGAAAGGCACAGAATAGTCATAAAAGCCTAGTGTGCTGCCAGTTTTACTTTGTAGTTGGATCAAGGTGCCAGCAATGGATTTTGAATTGGAATATGGTCAAATACATGATGTATTTGAATTCATTTTTCCTACTATTGCTACTCTTTTTTAAAAGCAGGAATACCATCTCCCCTCACACTTCTCCCACACTAAGCCTAGATGCCTAAGCTTCATGTGAGGAGTGTTGAGGCAAGCAGAATCTGTTCCATATCTTATGGGCAAGGCAAATGGCAGCTTGGTAATAATAACCATGTCTCCTACACACTCTTTGAATGGTTGTTCATTGTCAGATTATTGTATAGTGGTCTAGGCCCACCGGCTATTCCCTTCCCTCCACATCGCATACCCCTCAGTCTAAATCAGGTGCACATTAGAGACTGCTCACTAAGTATTCAACAAGTTCCACATTTCTGCCATGTCAGAGCACCCCCCTACCTGGACGCCCTGAGTGAATTTTGTACATTGGGGTTGCATTGTGTAGTTTGGTAAATCTAATAGTGTCAAAATATTTGAATTTTCAAACAATGACCAATACCCTCTACAGGGCTGTCCAACTTTGGCACAGCTGGGAGCCAGACCCTACAGAGCGCATGCTGCAGGGGCGGTCACCTAGAATACCTCCGTGCCACCTGGGGTGCACTAGTAGCACATGGTCCCTAACTGCAGGTAATGCCAGTGGCTCCCAGGAAGCAGTGGTGGTGCATGGCTCCCCTGCCTGCTGGACACAGCCAGCAGCACAAGGCTCCCCACTGTGTGGGCTTCAGTGGGAGAAGCAGCAGAAGTGGCTGCAGGGGCCCATGGGCCACATGGGCTTCCATTTGGACAGCTCTGCCCTAACACAAGAAATAACACATTGGAAAAGAGAAAGTCCTAAGCAGAATAAAAAGGGGCATGTTAATGATGCAATTCCATTTGCATCATAATATCAATCCAATTACAATAGTGGTCCCATGAGATGCAAAAGATTGCTCTGTATTTCCTTATTCTAGCACCTTGGCATGTGAAGAGCAAAGAGGGGGGATGTGTCAGTTATTATTGACTTTGGTCTAACTTTTGCCTTCTTTCTTTGTCATACAGAGAATGCACGACAGCGTCAGGATGGAGTAGTGAGCAATTCCATTGTGCATTTCACAGAAGATCCCCCAGAGCTCCCACCCAACAGCCCTCATCCTCTGAAACTACGGCGCATTCTCAACCTGAGCCCTTTCACCGTCACTGACCACACACCGATGGAAACAGTGGTGGACATCTTTCGGAAACTTGGACTACGACAGTGTCTTGTCACTCGCAGTGGGTAAGTGCATGTACATGTGAGCCAGAATGATCAAATACCCTTAAAAGTGGAGGAAAGGGAAATAGCTAATTTGCTATAATAAGAAGCAATAATAACATAGTGTTTTCCCTGCTCAAAGTAATTTATAGACAGTAACTAATTAAACAATCACCTATGAAATCAGTTGGGTAAATATTATTATTTATTTTTTTTGGAGGCATTGCTTGCAAAGAGTTTGTTTGCTCCTAGATTCCCAGGCAAGCTAAGATGGGTGTGAAGTACTTATCACAGTGTAGATGGCAACAAAGGAAAATAAATCTGCCCAGTTTGATTGTGGTGAAAATAGAAGTCCTTGAGTTAAAAGTCCAGAAAAAGCACACAAGGAAAAAAAGATTAGGAGCAACAATAGAATCAAATGGGTGAAAAAATGGTTTTGTCTACATTAGGGAAGTTCTCTCAAATAAATCAAGCTGGTTTTAGAGGTCTATACAGCCTTCCTCCCAACCTTAGGACAGCCCATTTGCTTCTGTTTGTGTATGTGGTCTGGTAGCACCCCAGAGCAGCTTTCAGTAGGCAGGTCCCCCTGCCCCTCCACTTCCTTTTTGCACTACTCTTACATTCTCTTAAAACAGAAGCCATATTACATTTCTATTAGGAGAATCATCATTCTCCTGGTACAAATGAGAAACATGAAAGTATTAATTGAATTTCAAGATAGTTTGCAAGGGAACTTGTATGCTGCCTTTTTGGTCTGGTCCAGGAAGAGAGGGGATCAGCAAGAGCTGCTCTCTGACTGTTCCTCAACGGGGGACTGTGTGTGGGGAATGGGCTGGGTCATTTTCCCCATTGCTCCCTGTCTCCTCCTCAAACCAGGCAGTCTCTGATATGGGGAAAATATGGTGGGGGAGCTCCCTCTGGCTTTCCCTTGCTGTCCTTGCTGCTCAGCTGAGCAGTGTGGTAGGGACTGCAAAACCCGGGGACTGTTAATCTGACATGGGGAGGCTGTGTCCCCAAGTCTGGTTCCTGGTCCCAGTTGGTTTCCCTTGGCCTCCGCTGCCTCCTAGGTAGGGGTGGCAAAGATACCATGGAGGAAGTGGAAGAGCAGCTCCTTGCTGTTCCCTGCTCACTCTCCAGACCAAAAGCAGGTCCTACTCCCCATGCTTTCCTCAGACCAAGATCACGTTAGTGTCAGGAGGGCACGAGGAGAAGGGAAGAGTTTCAGGCTGAATGCCTGTACTGTTCCCTTTCTCAGAAACATTTCTAGTGTTGGATGTTCTATTAATTTTCTACTGCTAGATATGAAGGCCTGTTTGTGGCTAGATTATCAAGCTGGGCCCTAGGTTGCACGCTCCAATAGCCTCTGCTCATGTAGTTTCTGGTCTCTGGGGCATCCAAATAAGAATCAGTGGGTGGGGCTTAGTTTGTGTCCAGACAGAGACTTTGGAGACTTTTGCATGTGCTCTGGTGCTTTGTAATCAGGACCTGTCAGAGCAGACTCAATCTTTCGAGTCTGCTGGAGCATTCTGCTTAGATGCTGCAGTGACTCATGTGTTCAGCGTCCTGTGTTTCAAGATGGCAGCGGGGACACTTTAACTAAAGGTTGTTCAGCAGTGCCCCTGCTGCCATCTTGAAACATGGGGCACTGTATACATGAGACGCTGCAGGCCTTTTAATTAGAGTACCTCTCAGGTGTGCTTTAAGTAAAACACCCACCCCCTCACCCCAGAGCACATGAACAGATGCTCTGTGTGGACATGCTCAAAACGTCTCAGGGACACAGTGCAATTCAAGATCTAGTGATTACCTTTTTTTACAAATAGGCTATCAAGATTTGAGCTATCATTTTCAAACTTGGGTGTCTAAAGTTTAGGCAGCAAAATAACAATTGCTGCTTTCAGAAGTGCCAAGTATCAGTGTCTGTTAGTTGACTGTGTGTGCCCAGGAGCTGTCAAAATAAGGTCTAAAGTGTTTCATTGGGGACTCATGATTCTGGAAAAAAAATCATTCTTGGTTTTTAGCTCTAGCAAGTCTTAAAGCATTAACCACATGTTTTGTGACTGAAGTGAAAGGCAAGATTGCTATCAGAATGATGTGGTTCCAAGCTCCAATGTCTAGAAGGGTTCATGAGCTGGGAAAGATTGCTACCTGGAAGTGTGAAAAACTAGGAAGTTTTCTGGCCTCTCAAGATTCATGAAGATATTGGCCCATCCAGGCAGTCTCTGCCCGGCTAATAAAAAATTATTAAGGGCTAAATTCCAAAACTCGATACCTCTTGTTGAGTAGCAACTTCTTATTTAGTTTCACAATTGTCAGAGTACCTCCCTGAATAGTAAGATACTCTTGAGTGAGAGTGAGGCTCTTAGAATTTTAAAACAGAATATATGTTGGCATTCTGGGCCAGGCTAAATTTCTTAGGCACCACTTAAACAATATAAGTGGTACTTCTGCATGGCGTCTTGTGCTGCTCACCCTCTGCACCAGGGTAAAGGGGTGGGAGTGAATGGTGTGAATTTTACCCCATATAATTTCTCATACAAAAATGTATGAGATTGATGACAGTTCATTTTTATAATATACAATGATAACCACAATTGTGAAAAACACATTTTCTAGGATTTTGTTTTGTAAATATTATCATTCTTTTTGAGCAATGACAGCTGTGCAGGTTCATATGAGATATATGGAAGCTCTTAAAAATGCACCTACATCAGGACAGGAAAAATGGATAACTGCAACCTTTTCTTTCATTTCTTTCTTCTTGTAGGAGGCTGCTGGGCATTATAACTAAAAAGGATGTCTTGAGACATATGGCTCAAATGGCAAATCAGGACCCTGAATCTATCATGTTTAACTAGGCTGGTAAGAGGAGATGGAAAGAAATAACTTTGAAGGAATCTCTTCCAGAGTAATGTAAAAGCTACGTATGGCATTTCATTTTGTTTAAAGAGGAAAAAAAAGTGTGTGAGGACAGGCCCAAGCCATGACAGGGGAGTAAATGCAGGATGGCACTTAATTAAATCAGGTAGGCAATTCTGAAACTATACAGCTGCAAAAATCAAGCTGTGTTTCCTTAATGAGTTTCCTAATAGCTCGGTTGGCATGGATGGAGGAGGTGTAACTAATATGGTGTGTGGCAACAACCAGCCAGGGGCACCAGAGGAATACACCAACATTCACAACAACTCACTAGACAGAGATGAAGACTAGAAAACATATTTATAAGTAAGCGAGCTTTGAGGTCTAAACTAGAGAACTGAGTGTGTAGGAGTCATGTTGATTGTTTTGTTACTGAAGTCATGGTTATTTATTTGCTACAAAATTATACGGAAGTATTTTCATGAGAAAAAATCATCCTATTTATGGAGAAATTTGTCATTTCCATCTATTTTTGTAAAAAGTAATGTGAAATTAAAGTGGAATTAAAGCAGCAAGAATGCACTTTAGTTCACCACCCCCTTACCCTCTTGTCCTTTGCCCCCTGCTTGAAGCCATTCTACTTAAATACCAGTAGTTCAGTAATTCTGTCACTCAGCTCTCTGTACCTAGTGTTCAAATGCAGCAACTAACTGATTTGTAAAGGTTCATTATTTCTCTATGCAAGTTTTGCATTTTTTGGTACTGTATTTAGTATTACGTAATTTACTATTACCCTGGAGAGAGTGCAAAAGTCCATGGGAGAGATGTGTAAAAGCACAGAGGAAAGAAACCCAGCTTCCACTGACTCTAAATGAGAGTTGGGTGTTTCTCCACAATGTCAACAAAAGAAACATTTTTTTCCACAGACAAGAGAAACTCTGCAGTGTTTTCTGTCTCCCATTTAACTTCTTATCCTTTAATTGGCAACTGTCTGCATTTGCTAACAGGTTACTTTTGTTTACCCTAACAGGACTAAAATTGCCACTTTTTAAGGCAGCTTGTGCCATGTATAGAATTCCAGTTGCAACCCTCCACAGCACCCTGTTTGGACAAGGGGTCAGAAAAGCAGTTAATATTTTGCTTTTGCTGTTGTCGTTATCCTCTTTTTCAATTAACTTCACATAAATGTAGGTTTAAAAGCTCATGGTAGGAAAGAGATCTGTGTACATTAGGGTGACAATGCTAAACCTTCCAAAGTTGATGCCAGGGTAGATGCAAAATGTAGGCATTTTGGCTCAAAATCCCATTTTGCCTAAAGACATCTAACTGCCAATTGCACAGATATCAGATCCTATTCCCATCTGTGGGACTAAATTTGTCCTTATGGGCATGCGTGGAAGGGATTCTCTAGAGCCATTTATACTCTATGGTTAAACATTTTCAGCTGGGAACGTATGTATCTCTCTAAAAGGCCCTAAAAGTATGGTCAGAGAAAAAAAATGGGATGGGTAGGGTGGAGGGAAGGGGGTTGGATTCTCTCTCATACCTTTCAGCATCCAGTAGCCCTAGAGGTTAGGCCACTAGCCCAGAGAAAGGTGCCCATCACCCTGAGGAGATTTGAATTCATGTTTCCCACTTTTCAGGAGAGTGCCCTAAACACTGGCTGTGGGCTAGAAAGGGCCAATTGTATCCTCCATCTAACTCATAAAAGCTGGCCAACCAGGGGGATAAATGAAGCCAGAGGAAAAGAAAAGCAGGAGAGTCCTGGTTCTGTGGCTTTAATGGATAAACAGTGCCCTGGAAGACA